GTGTGTGTGTGTTTGTGTGTGTGTATGTACTAATGCGTGTGTGCATGTGTGAGTGTGCATGTGTGTGTGTGTGTGTGTGTGTGTGTGTGTGTGTGTGTGTGTCGAAGGTGACTATTATTACCTGATTAATCTAATCTGTTAGTGTGTTATCACGCAACCATGTATTCACGGAAGGCCAATTCCTATATCAAATCTTTATCCTTTAACTTACACCAACGAGTTTTGACCTCTGTATCACACCGGCTGTAACCTTCTGCCTTCTGTTCGGGGCTTTCACCTTTGACCTTGGCTGAGGTCGCGTCCTGTTTCAACTGACCACCTGATATAGAACCTTCTACTCAAGGATCATCTGATAAAACGCATTCTTCTGATTTGTTCGTTTGTCTTTAGCTCAAGTTCGATAAAATTTCGTTTAGTCATGGTAAATGAAATTTATCTTCATGTGGGATAGTCAAACGAAAACAATCTTGCTATTTGTTTGTTTAATTAGCAAAAAAAACAACAACAAAAAAAACCCACCCCACTAAATCGCGATTGTCTAGAAATTTTGATTTTGAGAAAATGCATTTTATCAGATGACGGCAGTCTGTGGTATGGTGGTTAGGCTCTTCACCGTGTGCCTACGTACAAAACTTCAGTTCGATTCGCTCGTGGAAATATACAGTTCTTTTTGCGAGTATCTTCACGTGGTTCAGTTCCTGTCTTGATGGAGACGGAAGCTGAAGTAAATAAAAAATGTTTCTACTCAAAGTACACAATATAAAGTTTATACATTTCTGCCATGATATTATACAGTAGAAAGGTGGGTGGTTGGCGGGTGCTCTGGTGTGGTTTACTTCTTCTTTCCTATCACACATCTGTCGTCCTGATCTCTCCTCCTTTTTTGTGTTTGTTACTCTCTTGTAACACCTTTTATTTTAATCACTTATATGACCGTATTGTGTTGCAAGTGCCGTAAAACTCTTACTAAACTACCTCGACGGGGACGGAAGCTGAAGTAGAAAAATATATATATAATTCTGCTCAAAGTTCACACAATACAAAGTTTATACATTTCTGCCGGGATATCGAATAGAAAGAACAGGTAAAAGACTGGCTGTGATTGGCTGAAGGGCACGGATCCCTGTACAGTTCTCTCTTTGTTGTCATAAATACGCCCATCACCTCCCCTCAGCCACCCCGACTTATAAACATGCGTGTTGTGTTTGTGTTTGTGTTTGTGTGTGTATGTTTGTGTGTGTTTGTGTGTGCTTGGGTTTGTGAGTGTATGCGTTTGTGTTTGTGTGTGTTTGTGTGTATGCGTGTGTGTGTGCGAGTGTGTGTTTGTATGTGTTGTGTTTGTGTGTATTTGTGTTTGTGTGTGTTTGTGTGTGTTTGTGTGTGTATTTCTTACTTTATTTTTTTTTCATACGTGAGGTCGCTCTTTCTTCTCTCTTCCCCTCTCCCCATCTCTCCATCTCTCTCACTCTCTCTCTCTCACTCTCTATCTCTCTCTCTTTCTTTTTCTCTCTTTCTCTCCCTCCCTCTCTCCCCTCTCTCCCCCCTCTCTCCCTCCCA